GTGTGATCAAACCAAGCCCATAGATTTCCTCATGTTATTGGCTTGTTTGTTGGCAGTGGTGAGATCAATAAATGAATGGAACATACTCTGTAATCCAGTTGACCTCTGTGAGGGTGGACAAACTGACCTTTACCTTCGGGAAGTTGGGGACATCTTAGGACAGGAAGTCAACTCTATTCTTCCAGGAGAGAAGGCTGGCCCCTGTGTTCTGGGACCTGGAACCACTGAGGGTCACATTGTGACAATCATGGGCTATAGACGTTTCTGTCTTGGTGAGCCCTTCCACAAAAGCATTTGAAAATCATATCACAGCTGTTTTATTAAAAAATAAATCAGTATCATTTATTAAAACTTTTTGACTTGAATGTTTATTTTTTTTCTTCTGATTTTAGTATAAAAGAAAACATTTTCTAGGCTCCTAAACACTGTGTCTGCTGTAGGGTAGACACAGGACCACTGTGTCTACCAGACATGTAGATCCTGTAGAGTCTCCAGGGCTGAGTGCATGTTTATCTGTGTGTACTCCTCATATCTTTTTTCTTTTTTCCTGGTGCTGGGGATTGAACCCAGGGCTTCATGCTTGCTAGGCAAGGGCTCTCCCGCTTGATGCACATCCCCAGCTCTCTGTGCAACCCTCCCTTCAAATATATTTCCACAGTTGGCAGAGGGCTTCTGAGCATTAGATGTTAGGCTGACCTGGAGGACTCAGCCAAGGGATGTTTCTTTGGCCATTATCTATGATAAAAGTGCCCAAGAGGGCTTGGAGAAGATGAGACAGCAGGCTCTAGGGTGGCCAGGGAAGATCACTGCACCTCAACCCAAGAAGCTGTGGACCTGTATGGCTGGGAATGCAAGGGTGGTGGAGAGGTCTTAGCCACTGCAGGAGTGCCTAGTTAAGCTAGATCAGCATTGTATAGGTCCTGGTGTCATGACAGCACTGGGCTGGGAAGTCCAGGCCATTGGATAAGAACTTACTCCAGAACAGTGAACACTGGGTCAGTTTTACCTCCTCTGTGCTACTTGGTGTTGTATGAGACATTTTTGGTTGTCTCATTCTAGATGATAGAGGCCAGGGATGCTACTCAACATACAATGCATAGTACAGTTCCCTATGACAAAGAATTACTGAGACCTTTATTCTGGATGATGTCACAGGCCCCAGGGTTGGGCAGGTGGAACCTTTCCAGAAGCATCATGATAGGACTACATGTGAATACCTTTCTTCCCTTCTTCAACTGGGGAACATGTAATTAAAGCCATAGTGGAGACTGGCTGACTTAACCCAAGCCTCAGGGTGGGCAGACAGCCTCTTTCTACCAGGACAGGCCAGGTGAGCTTCTGAAAGTCACAGGCTTCATGCTCACACAGAGGAAGTTTCCAGAAATGATGACAGTGTTTTGCTAACAGATTCCCAGCGCCCTCTCAGATGAGAATCTTGCTATTTAGTCCAGGTTGGCCTCGAGCTCAATTCTCTAGCCTCAGCTTTCCCTGGTGTACCATCACACCTGCTTAGTCCCTGTCCTCTTTAATTACCATGTGAGCAGAACATGGTCTCCAGCCTGGAAGTGTTGTGAAGGTCTTGGGAAATGATTCCTGCTTCTGTTGGCCAGTGGGGCAGGGCGCTGTGAAGAGAGGTGATACCAAGGGAGATTTTGGGTACACAGGGCTTGGACGCTGTCTTCCATTTTGTCTTTCTCACTTTGATCCTGGGTGGCTGGGAAGATGAAATGCCATTGGGGTCTTTCTAGCCATTTTGTTCTCCTCTTCCTGCTGTGTCTGTAATGGGAGAAAGGCAAGGAGTGTGAGATCCCCCCCACCCAAGTCCAGGTGCAGAGAAGCAGGTCTGGAAGTGGCAGCAGCAGGACTGGAGTGAGGTGAGAATGGGGATCAGTGGCCCCTACTGTGCCAGAATCTGTATGATGCTTCTAACATCAGTTCTAAGAAGTTGGAGAGCTTGTGTCAGCACTCAGGTTTATTTCTCAGGTTTGGCCCATCTGACTTTCCCAAGCCTTTCTCCCCCAGCCTTCTGTCCTGCACCTCAGTGTCTTATCTAAAGAAGGCAAGGGCAGTGTTCTTTATGATTGGCCCCAGCTGTATGGCCCAGTCCCAGAGGGTAACCTGTGAGGACCTGGTGGTACAGGGAAAGTGTGCTGCATGATGGGGTGACTCAGTATCCCCATTCTGGGGAACCTGGCAGGTAGCTGAGCAGGGAGATTTGACCTACTTCTGGAGCCTTTGGATTTCTGCTGTTCCCCACCTCAAGGAGCAGACAGGGAGGACAAGTGGGGGAGGAGTTTGGGGCTGGCACCTGAATCTCATTAAATCTTGGTAGAACAGGACTCCTCCCCAGCCTGGATCCAATGCTAAATCCTTACCCTTCCCCTGCTGTGGTAGTGGGGCTGCTGGAATGGGATTTAATCTTTTTTGATTTATGGTGAAACCCAGGCTACCCAGTGCCCCTGGGGAGATAGCCATTCTAGAAAGATTTTTCTGGGTTTCAGAAATTTTATGTATTTACATACTTTAAGTCTTACTTTTTCTAAAGTACTTTTGGACAGAAATCTTTCTTAATGTTGAATACTTTCCCTCTTCCCCTTTCTGATATCCCAAGGTCATCATGATCAGTAATGGAGCTATAAGACATGGAAGTTCTCAGGGTTGTCAATAGGTGTGGAATTGTTTGTCATGAATGAAAAGTCTCCAGAATTCTTAGCATTTTTTTTTTTTAGTGTCCTCTTTCCTCCCTGATCCTTGATACTACTTTCCACTGTCTACATGTATCCCATCTCCTTTTAATTTCGTTCACCACTGGATTGGATACCAAATATTCAGAAAGCAGACTTACTGGAGCAGTAGTGTTGTGAACCACCAAGGTTCTTAGTGTGGTGGTTCTCCCTCAGTCTTGTGATGAAAATGCCAAGAGTTTAAAATGAACAGACATAGTAACAACTATTATGATGCTCAGTCTTGTACTCCTTTGCTTTCTGGCTCTTGGTCAAGTTCTTCATTGCTGAATTAGTAGATATCCGGAGCGGTGTTCATCATTGTTGTCATCAGTGTCATCGTTATAGAAGGGATAATGGATAATGGATAGTTTGTGTTCCAAGTTGTATTTTAACTGCTTTACCTACAACATGCCCTCTACAGTTCTGTGAGGAAAGAACTGTCATTTTCCAGTCATTTAGGAAAGCAGAGGCATGAAGAGGTTATGTACAGGGAAACACAGCTGGTAGAGAAAATGGCAGAGCTGAGGGTTAACCCGAGTGTGCTTCCTCAGCCAGGAACCCTAGATGCTGCTGAAACCAGTGAGAACCAGCCAGATATCAGGCCCAGTGAGAAGGGATGGGGCAGACCTCTACTGGATGCTTCTGGATGCTGGGGACTGTATGGGACAGCCCTTGACAGCAGGTGCTGCCATAACCCCTGTAACCACTCCTGTACTTGACATGGAAGAGATGCCTCCTCTCCTTTAGCTAAATACCGCTCAGTTCACAACAATGCAGAGGGAGATGGCATTACCACTGACTCTTTCCAAAATACAGCACTGCTCAGTGCCACACTGCCTGAATTCTGAAGGGTAGTGAATTCCGAAGCACTACTTACTGGGTACCTCACCTCAAATATTTTAAGAGAAATATTTTAAGAATCATTCCATTTTGTGATCAGGACTGTAAGACTTTAAGGAGAAAATGCAAGATTTGTTGAAACCCCTCCCCCGCCCCCTGCCCCCACCCAGATCTTGTTGGGACCTGCAGGTTCATGGCTCTGGGTGACATGGTCTGGAGCTCTGCCCTGCATGTGTCTACAAGGGGCTGGAGTTGGGTGATGACATCCTGTCCTTCCAGAGCAGGCAGGGACTTGCCTTTCTTGTTAAAGCTTTGCTACATGCTTCCTGTCCTCTCACCCTCCCCCGGATGGACATGCCTCAGTCAAGGATGACATCGTGGTAGCTGGGCTGAACTCAAGGTTCTCTCTGGCTGGGTTGTGCACACAAGAGGTTAAAGAAATTCTGAATGGATTCTCCTTGGCTAGACATCTTGAGGTGATGCACCAAGAGCAGCTGAAACTACAAAGTGAAGAGTCATAGTTCCTGTTCTTGGAGTTCTTAGTGTAATGGGGTGAAGTGCACAGATAGACTTGGAAACAAGAGTCAGTAGGGTAGTTCTTGAGTAACATAGTAGCAAAGCAGTATAGGAACATCTCTGTGAGGGCAGATTGGCAAATGAAGAGTGATGGAAATGCTGGAGATTGGTTTTGGCTGGCAGGTGATTCTCCACCTTGCATTGCTTTGCCATTCAGGCCATGGCCCAGTGATCTTTGTGGCAGGAATTTTTAAAAACTCACCTAATCTGCACCAGTCAGACCATAAATAACAAAGAACTTAAACTTGGGATTAGTGGTGGCTGAATCTGGGGGTATTGGTTGACACCAGGATTGACTTGCTCATATTCCATGTGAAGGCCTTGTGGATGCCTTCATCCTTCTGTGTTCCTTTGTTCTGTCCTGACCTCATAGGATGGGGGCAGAATAGAGGAGGCATCCCTGTCATTTCTCTGGATCACACAGCTTGAGTTCAAATCCTGGATTTATCACTTAGCAGGTTTGCGATTGGGCTGGCAGAGTGGCTCAAGTGGTAGAGAGCCTGCCTAGCAAACATGAGGCCCTGAGCTCAAACTCCAGCAGTACTGTCCCCCACTCCCCAATATATATATATGGTTTGTGATCTTGGGCTCTGTGAACCTCAATTTCTCTATAAAAGTTGAGGGAGGGTGCTAACAGCACCCACCTAAGACTGTCACTGTGTGACTGAAATGGATAATCCATTACCTTATGTTATGGATAGCTAAACGTGGGTCCTAGTGTGTAGCTGACCTCTTAAGGTGTCGGTCATCTCCATCCTAACCATTACTCATCATTTCCATCCTCCTGTTATCAAGAGGGCCCATCTCCATGGGAAAATGGACCAGGAGTGCGTCCTCTCTTCCTTCCTGTCTCTGCAGACAATGGTGATGACCACTCTGAGGGAGGCCTGGGAGAGAACCATGTGGATGGGACCATGAACATGTTGGGAGGAGGCAGCAGTGCTGGCCGGAAGCCCCTCAAATCAGGCATGAAGGAGCTGGCTGTGTTCCGGGAGAAGGTCACCGAGCAGCACCGACAGATGGGCAAAGGTGGAAAACACCACCTTGGACTGGAGGAGCCCAAGAAGCTGCGTCCACCACCTGCCAGGGTCAGTGGGGGCTGGGTCTGCTGAGAGGGGAGGAGGTAGAAAGGGAGTCTCACAACTAGGGAGGGTATCTTACTCTGACCTATGCACTTTGTCACCTGTAAGGAAGTCATGTTTTCTCCCTATGCCGCCACTGATGTTCAATGACTTTTTGGCTACTCAGCACTCTGGCAGCAAAATGGACAGGACATATGGTTTCTTGAAGTCTCTTCCATTAAGGCCATTGTCACAATCAAGGAAAGGAGTGAAAATTCACTTCCATTTAACTTTTGTTAAGAGTGGATTAGGTACCACCTAATCACCAGGCTGATTGTCACTGGTCCTATCTGCTAGCTGCATGAAAGCTGATAGGCATACGTGAGAGTCCCTTTCCCATGAATGGCTACTTTCTGAGGCCACATTCAGCACCAGTGTTTTGTGGGCCCATTATTGTCTCTACATCTGTCCTCTGTGCCTGTCTGCTTGCAGACCCCCTGCCAGCAGGAATTGGACCAGGTCTTGGAGCGAATCTCCACCATGCGCCTTCCAGATGATCGGGGCCCTCTGGAGCACCTCTACTCCTTACATATTCCCAACTGTGACAAACATGGCCTGTACAACCTCAAACAGGTGAGTGTGGGTGCCAACTTGGCACCTACAGCCCCAGCTCCTCCTCAGAACCAGGCTCTGGTATGCCTTGTTCCTGTCCCACCTACCTGTAATTCTCTGAGGTCTGAGTGCTGAGCTGGGATGCAGCCTTCCCTAATGATGGGTCAGTGGGCTGGTAGTGCCAGCTGCCAGGCCAGAGAGGGTGGGGCTTCCCTCCCTGGCCTCAGGCAGGTCAGGACTGACTCTTCTCAGGACTGACTTTTCACTCCTAGCCAACTGCCAGCCATGTTTAGTATGCAGGTTAGGAGGGGGCCTCCTGGAGAAGTGGGTTTAAGTTAATGCATCTTTTTTTTTTTTTTTCTTGGTGGTACTAGGGTTTGAACTCAGGGCCTCTCACTTGCTAGACAGGCTCTCTACCACTTGAGCCACTCCACCAATTACTTACATCTTGGTTTTTACTGAGAGCTAATTCCTGGGCCCACCTCCAGACACTTGTCATTTACCCTTAGGGACCAAAATTTTGCATTTCTTTAAAAATTTTTTTCATGTGCTGCTGGGGATTGAACACAGGGCCTCACACATGCAAGGTAAGTTTTCTACCACTGGGCTATACCTCCAGTCCCAGGAGTTTGCATTTCTAACAAGCCTTCATGTGGTCCATGAACCATACTCTCAGAATCACCAATTTAAGCCATTGGCAAAGTAGCCAATCTAGTTTTCAGGGATCTCAGGGAATGGAGAATTGGGGACCGAGAAACACCATTGGGAACATTTCTAAGAGTGGTATCATCATTCTAAGTACACTGGAGAAAGTTAAGGAAGTTTAAGAAACCCCCTAGGAGCCCTTTGCCTGCCCATTTCTTCATCAATGTGCCTGTGCAGTTTTTCCCCTTGAGATTATAAATACTTGTCACATAGCCATACACTTTGTAGTTCTTAAACATTGATGGAATCCTGGATTCAAGTCCTAGAGGAAGCACAGCGATGCTTCCTAAGTTCTGGGCTTGGAGTTTGCTCAATTGTTACAGTGCCTGCCTAGCAAGAGCAAGGTCCTGTGTTCAAGCCCCAGTACTGTCAAAACAAACAAACAAACAAAACCCCCAAACCCAAAACAAAACACATAAACAAAATCAAAACATTGATGGGTTGTTCTTTTGCTTATCCCACCCCTATCTTCTACTTCATCACCCCTTATAGAGGGGAAGAAGAGTGTGTGCTTTTCTTGTGAGAAGGAGGAGAGACAGTGTGGTCTCCAGCAACGCAGAGGTTCTCAGTCCTGGCTGCACACTAGGATTGTCCAGGGAGATTTAAAAAATATGAACTCCAGGACTCACCCTGGGGATTCAGATCCTCTGGATCTGTGGTGCTTTGTGGGCAATAGGGGCTAAAAGCTTTTTTGGTAACCCTAATGGGTGGCCAGGGTTGACTTGAAGGGTGAATGTGTGGAACCAGAAGATTGGGTACAGGGCTTTGCTCATCCTTTTGGGGTTTTACTTCCTCACTTCCTTCACTGTGTGGGCATCTTGCCCCTCTAAATATTACTTTAGTATTAAAAACTGTTTGATTGGATGTCTACCCTCCAAATGTAAGCCAATTTCTTCATTTGGCGCCCAGAAGAAGAAATCGTTCTCTCTCCTAATGAAAAGCAGGTTGTCCACTCTACCTATGGATAACTAAAGTGATTTGTAAATACTAATTAATTAGTTCTATGGATAAGAGTGGGGGATTCTAGATGAGAATGCCTGAGTTCAAATCTCAGCTTTGCTTGTGTGACCATGGGCAAGTTATTTAATCAGTCTCTGCTTTAGTCATGTCGTGTAAAGTGAGGATAATAATGGTAACCTAATTCACAAGGTGGGTGTGAGCGATATGTGAAGGTATGTGTTACATTTAAACTGAATGTTTGGCGTATGTATCGTTTACACCAAGTATGTGTTGGTGCACAGTCTTACTTATTCTGATACGAGAGTTTTCACCTTACACTGTAGTCAAATTCCAGCATACTGGGTCCCCAACTAGATGGGACCTCTTTGAGGGTGGAGCTGAGTCTTTGTCTTTGGGTGCCTCCAACAGCCTTGCTGATGGGAGTGGTTCCTGGGCCAGCAACATCAATATCACTTTGCAGCTTGTCAGTCATGCAGAATTTCAGGGCTACCCCCGACTACTGAATGAATCTGCATTTGAACAAGACTTCCAATGCACACTCAAGGTTGAGCAGGGACACCGTGCAGTGCTAGCTCAGCACAGGGTAGCAGCTCAGTAAACCCTGGTTTGAGTGAAGGTAACTGGCTACAAGGGATGTCCTCAAATTCTCTCTCTCTCTCTCTTCTCAGTGCAAGATGTCTCTGAATGGACAGCGTGGCGAGTGCTGGTGTGTGAACCCCAACACTGGGAAGCTGATCCAGGGAGCCCCCACCATCCGCGGGGACCCAGAGTGCCATCTCTTCTACAATGAGCAGCAAGAGGCTGGTGGGGCTCATGCCCAGCGGGTGCAGTAAACCACAGCAGCTGGTGCCTGGCTCCCCCACCCCTAACACCAGCAGAAACAGAGGGTGCTTGGGTGGAGGGTGGGGAGGATTTCCTAGGAGATTTGACACATGTATTTATATTTGGAAAGAGGCCAGCACTGAGCCCGGCACCCTGCTGCCCTGCCCTGCCCTCCCCTCCCCAGCTGGAGATGCCTATATTGTCCCTTTCTGCTTCCCCTGGGGAGGAAGGGGAGGTGGTACTAGGGGAGCTAGGTACAGGTTTGGGAGGGGAGGAAAAGAAATTTTTATTTTTGAACCCCTGTGTCTCTTTTGCTTAAGATTAAAGGAAGGAAAAATAATGTGTGTGTCTTGCCTGGGTTTTTGGGGCCTCCCTGGGAAAGAGCCCTGGAGGGTTGCTGACCTCCTCCTGCCCAGCTTGCCCCAACTCCTGGGAAAATGGGAAAGGTACTGTTTCCCACTGTAGATGGGAGCAAGGAGGATGAGGCATGAGGACCTGCAGCCTCTTGCATACAGATCCTAACAGGACAGCCCAGGAATCTCATCAGGGAGGCTCCAGGTCCCCCTAGGCTCCTAGCTGGCCCTTCTCAGGCATAGGATGGATGGTGAAGGAGAACCAACAGAGAAGCAAACCAAAAACAAAACCAAACCAGATGACACTGCAGTAAGGGCTAGGAAATGAGAAACATTGAAAATGGGAGAAGATATTCTGCCCAGGAGAAGATATTTCAACTGGGCCCCAAGGGAAAGAGTGGGGCCACTGTTGACTGGTTTATTCGCAAAGGTGTCACCTCTGAGAATTCAGAGCTGCTCTGAGGGGCCCACATGACTGATGCTCCTAAACTTCTAGTGAAGCCCAGAGAGGGCCCCCTATCCTTTGCAGTGGGCCATGGGAAGAGGAAGGCACAACATTTTAAGGTTCATGTCCCCTCTTCCTCAGCTGGTCCTGAGCCTGACCTCCCCAGTACTACCTTCTCCGTGGTGCATCTGTACTGTCTCTGGTGGCTTTACCCTGCCCACTTCCCACCTCCCATTTGGCAAGTCTGCAGAGGCCGAGGAGGACTTGCTAGGGCCTTGGCCAGGCCCATAAGCTTACTTGCAGTGCAAGAAAACTAGATCCCAAAGAACAGACCCCTGCTAGGTAGGTGGATTTTAGGCTGTACCAGGCCAAGGCCAATGTGTGTCCGGCTACCCTGGAAGTACATTTGTTCAGTTAATTCTCATGAAGTCATGAAAATGACACAATTAGTTTTACTTTACAGAGAAAGGTCCCAGAGGTGCCCAACCTTCAGCATCCCTTGGCTAGGGCCCCTGCTCACCCTGAGTTATGCTGTCCCCTGCTGGCAGAAGCAGGATGTGGCACTTAGAGAGGTTGGAGCCCTTTGGGTATGGATGGTCAGTCTCTACATGGGATCTGATTGCCTTCCATCCAATTGATATGTGCTCCCACCACCCAATCCTCTGTCCCCTCAGCTGCTATAGCGAATAGCTAGCAGCTGGCTACTGCGTGGACTGGAGTATCCCATGCTGCTGATTAACTCTTGGGTCCGTAGGGGCCTAGAAGGCTGACACCAGGTTCTCATCCACAGAGCCTCTAGCCTTAGTTGGTGTGGGAGCAGCTCAGGCAGAGTTTGTTCTCTTTTAAGGTTCTCGGTTATTCTGATGTAGAGCCAGGGATGAGGCTAGACAACCTGCCTATCCTAGAGTTGGACTTACCTGGGTTTGGATTGTCCCATCACTTACTATGGTATTGCCTGGGGCTGTGTCATGTCCTCCCTGAGATGAATTTTTCCTCCTTTGGCTGATGAGGGTATTTTCAGCTTCAAGTAACAGTGGTGTCTGTGGGAGAGTGTGGGTGTCAAGTGTTTTCAAAACTAGAGCACTGCACAGAATGGGGGAGGTTCTTCTGGGGCCCCTGCAAGGTTAGCCCGCAGCCGGGCCATGGGCCCCAAAGTAGCCACCTTGCTACTCTCAGAATATTCTGGGGAAGGCTCCCAGGGATGTAACAGCCTCTCTGGCAATTTCACATCCTTTGCCCACAGGAGAAGGGACTTTTACAGTGTATGAACAGCACCTCTACTCTGACTCTAGCTACAAGAATCACACTGACAGACAGCATGACCTAGAAGTGTAACTGCCTTCATGTGCAGATGGCTAGCTGAGTAGGGATCTTCAAGGTGGCTAGTAAGTCACCGGGAACTGACTGCTTGGAAAATTTAGGCCTGGCTATTGACAAACCCTGGGGCTTACTGCCTCTGTGTGGTGGTAGGGGGAACTGCAGCTGAACTCACTGTGGGCCTGGGAGAGTCTTACTTCCTGAGAGGTGGACCTAGGAACAGGGAATTCCCACAATGGGGATGCTTCCTAATAGTGCGGATTCTCCAGCCTTCTGAGTTAGGAGCTCAGTAAGGGATCTGAAACTCTTCATTTACATAAACCTCCTGTGTGATTCTTACATAAGACTGGTGATTTAATTTGTAGGGCCCAGGGCAAAATGAAAATATGAAGCCCTTTGTTCAGCAATTAAGAATTTCAAGAAGGCATTACACCAAGCCTGGAGCCTTTTGTGACTGTACAGGTACATGCCAATGAAGCTGGTCTTTTTCTTATGCCCTCTGAGTCTGGGGGGAATCTCTGCTGTAGTGGCTGTGTTTTGAGTACTAGCTACATACGATAAGTTAAGAGCCAGGCCACTGGCAAGCAGAATCTGGACTCTACTCCTTATAAGACTTTGTACTAAGTTTCTTTTTTTTTTTGGCGGCACTGGGGTTTGAACTCAGGGACTCATGCTTGCTAGGCAGGCGCTCTTACAGCTTGAGCCACTCTGCCAGCCCTTTTTTGTGATGGGTTTTTCCGTACTATTTGTCTGGGTTGGCTTCTAACCACCATCCTCCTGATCTCTGCCTCTTGAGTATGTACACATTTTTTATTAGCACATATTAATTGTATAGTTTAAGGAATCTCATTTGATATTTCCACACATGTATATAATATACTTTGATCATATTTCTAATGTCCATGAATCTCATTTGTTTTATCCTTAAGTATTGGAATAATTTCTGTCTCAAAGTATGACTCAGAATATAAAGTTATTTCTGTTGTGTAGTAAGTGCTGCCTAAATGTAATTATCACTGTATCTAGCCTAGTGGTAGGATAAGGAGATGAAAGGGATTATTAAGGTCCTTGTTCCTCAGGGATGACATTCCAATGAAGGAAAATAGCCTCATGGATCAGTGATGACCATCTTTTGATATGATGGGGGGAGGAGTGCCCGCCAGTGGGTGCAAATAGGAGGAAGACCACGTGTGCTGCTATGGAAGGTATCTTAGAAAGGGTGTGAAGGCAGAGTTACAAGAAAGAAGTAGACGTTAGGGGAATGGATTGGAGGCGTATGTATCTGTATATCCGTGTGTGTGTGTGTGTGTGTGTGTGTGTGTGTGTGTGGTCCATTTAGAGGCAGCAGTATGTGTGAAGCCTTCAGTCCTGAGCTGCACAGTGAACTTGGAGACTTGCTCATGGTTGAGGATACATGTGACCAGAGGTTGCTGGAAGGCAGAGGGGGGCCCAAGCAGGAAGGGTGTGGGTGTGTTGCTGAGGGGTTTAGACTTTGAACTGAAAGCTGGGAGATAAGTAGGAAGGAATTTAGGCCAAGGGTGGGCATGATTAGATCTGTGATTAGAAAGTAAACTATGACTGAAAGACTAGCAGGGAGGGCAAGGCATGAAGAGGAGAGGTAAGGTGTTTCCAAGGGAAGAATTGCCGCATTCAGTGAGACTTGAGCATGACCTGAACTAGGGCTAGGGAGATAGAGGGGCTGGTTCAAGAATTGTCAATGAGACCGCTGATTCCTAGGATTCATTAGATGTGTTGGCAGCTTATTGGATGTGGGGCTAGATGAGGGGTCAGGACTGATGTCTGGGGGTTTGGTTGGATGGCAGCGCCATTCTCTGAGACAGGAGTGGGAACAGGGAAAGGAGGACAAAGGGGAGAAAGAAGGAAGGAGGATAGCTTGGTGGAAGATGAGTTTCATTGTCATTGAACTTGAACTTTATAACGTATAAGGTACAGTGAGAGGCAAAGTACCTGAGTTGACAAGAGGAGTTAATCTGGGGACATTTGAATTTGAGTTTGTTCAGGCAATCTAGGTGGAGACGATGTTCTTGCCTTACCCCTTAGCCTTACCCTAACATCCAATTTATGATTGAGTCCCCGTCACTTTTTTTTTTTTTTGACACACCCTTGCTATGTCGCCTAAGCTAGCCTCAAACTTGTGGTCTTCTTGCCTCAGTCTCCCAAGTGCTGGCATTACTGGGGTGCAGAACCACACCATGTCAAGCCCTATCACCCATCACTTCTGCCTGCAAGCTATTGTTCACTTGCATGCCTTCTCTCCCTCTTTCCTCCCAATTGCAGAGGAAGATGGGATGGTGACTGGGATGGGGTCAGCCAGTAGGGAGAGCAAAAGAAGGGAGTTGCCACTTTGGATTTGGAAACAGAGGAGGACTGACATGGAGGGAAAGAGCATAACAGGAAACTATGTGGTACTTTTGTGGGGATTGGGATAGGAAGAAGAGGGAGTTCTCTGGTTTTCTCTGATGGGGAGAAGGCAAGACCATTTGCCAGGAGTCAGGAGAGGTGGTAAAATCAATGTGTGGAGGACATGAGAAGAAGTGAGAGGGAGATGACCCAACAGGGATTCCTATAGCCTTTCCAGGCAGGATTGAAGCCTACAGATTCTCGGGAGACATTGGCCCATAGGACCAAGGAATGTTCTTCAGCAGAGATCAGTAGTATTGTGCCAGAGTGACAAATTAGAAGGTGAGGCTTATCCAGGGTGGGGGTGCTGCTGCCCAGTAGGTGAGACCCAGACAAACAGAGGCAGAGAGATGTCCCTGATCTCCTCTGGGACAGAGGCAGAGCAGAGAGGGCTGATGGATTAAAAAGTACACTGGGGGGACCAAAAACTCTCACTCTTTATTAGGTAAAATGCTGACTTTGCAGTTCTTTCTCTCACAGACTTGGATTGGACTGGGAGCGTTGAATTTTCAGATTTTAGGTGTAGAATCCTTAAGGATCCCAAGACTCAGAGGAGGGTAACAGAGCCCTGTGGTCTCTGGCCAGCTGCCATATGCTAGGGGTAAGGGTGGGTGACCTGCAGATCCCAGGTCCCAGTCCAGACTGCAAGTGTCACAGGCAAATTGCATTATCCATAAGGTGCTGTATGGGTTGTCCCTCCAGCCATGAATTGTGCAGAGTTGTGGCAGAACATGGAGTGGAATATCCAAGAGCCAGATTGCCAAGTGACCACGGGCTGCAGGCAGTTAGAAGACGAGGATTATAGAGATCAGGAGGAGGCCTTGGGTGAGGGAATGCAAAGTGGGATTAGGTCATGAGGCTCTGGGGATTGGAGCCCAATGAAGAAGAGCACAGAGAAGAATCCTGGCTCATGTCCCCTGTAGGCATTGGGTGGGAAACAGGAGGGTGAGCAGCTTCCGGAGGAGCAAGGAGGCTGTCCTGGGTGAGTGGCGCACGTGGTGGGCCATCCACAGGTTCATTTTCTTGTTCCCCCACTCAAAACCCCTGGGGAGAAGGCACCCATTTCCTCTCTGCACTGTCTATTGTGCCTTTAAAACATCCTCTGTTTTTACCTTTGCTGCTGGGCACAAGCTTCAGGTGATTGAAGGGCAGGGACTTGGTGACCAGGCATCTAAAATACAGTATTCAGGCCTCTTTGACTGGACAGACTGCTTTGTGTACTTGAGGAAACCTGGTACTGAGATGACTCAGGGAAGAGTTTCAGCGACTCCCAAAGGATGTGTGCATAGAGAGGGCTGACCTCTTGGCAAGCAGGGATGTCCCCAATGACCACACTTGGCATGTGACTCATAGGGCAGAACACCAGGGCTTCTGAGAGCCTCAGTGTTGAGCTGGGCAGAGTGGAGGCACCAACACCTCCACCTCCCAGGCTGTGCCGACAGCCCAGGAGACCTGTAGTGTCTAGTGGTGGGGTACTCAAGGGGCAGGGTGCTACCCTAGGCTCTGTGAAATGAAGAGGAGCTGTGGAGAACTAGGGCAAGAGTCCCAGGTCAGAAAGGGCCTATGGAGGAGGAAAGTCACTGAGAGACCGAGGCAGGAGGAGGGTGTGGTTGAAACCAGAGGGGCCATTTCATAATTTTTCTTTTTCCCAGGCACAAACACCAGTGTGGTGTTGGGTAGGAGCCAGAAGTAGGATTCACCTTGGTTCAGGGTTCCCAGGCTCAGGAATTAAGAGCATACAAGGCACTGGAATAAAGGACTGAGGAACATTCTAGAAATTCCTTTCTTAAAAATCCTCTCCCAAGAGAAGAGGCTCATAATTTAAGGGCAGATTTAAGACTCCTTTATTCAGTAGCAGGGACTGAGATTAAATGATAACAATAGTAGTAACAGTCACAATGGTAGCTGGACTTGTATGAGTGCTCACAATTCTAAGTGCTTTGTGTATGTCGGCTCCCTGGGTCCTCTAAATAGCCCTGTAAGTTTGTACCTATGGCAAGAGGGCACTGAGAAATCAAGGAATTGGCTTTTGAATGAGGGAAGGGAGTGCCCAGCTTCTGGGGGGAGGGCTCATCTGCAAGGAGCGGCTGTCCTCCACGCAGGGGTTTCTCTGGAGGACACGCCCAGGCTTGGGTCCTCTCTCCTTCTGGTCTGGTTTTAGCCTATGGAGAGACCTGGATGCTTGCCTTGCCCTCTACCTGCTTCCCTGAGCCCCTGGAGGAAGCCGACGCAGGCTAACTGAATGCATAACTTTATTAAATAAATGCTTTGCCACCACAAAAGACAAAGATCAACGAGTAACATAAATTATAAGTTGAATAAATAGTATACAGCAATCTTCACTTTTTTTAATAAAACGTGAGATCCTCTGGTTTTTTTCTTTTTTATTTCCTTAAGTACAAAATACTAAACAGGAGCAGAGCTCTTTCGCATTCATGTGATTTTTTTTTTTTCTGCTTTTTTTTGTCCCACAAACTGGTTTTGTTTGTTGGTTTATTTTTTCATCTTTTTCACCAGTAAAGATTATGAGCATTTTTTTTTTTAAAGTTGAAAACGAAAAAGAGGAGAGAACAGAGCTATGGTATGTCTGTATGTAACACTATAAAGAACTACAGTAATATGTGCTGTGGTTATTGCTGTCTTAAAAAAAATAAAAACAAAAACAAAACAACCGGTAGGCAACTCGGAATCTGAAGGAATCTTGTCTGACAACTGTGCTATCCATACGACAGGGCTACTGTGTGACGGTGGTGTTGGTGGTGGTGATGGGGCTGAGGCTGGTGACCAGGGACCAGAGAAGTGGGGTGAATGGATACAGGGTGGCTGTGGACCCCTTCCCCTCTGACCCTCCACCTTCCTTTCCCCATCCGGAAGGATTTAAGGAGAGGAGGCCAGAGTCAGTGAAACTAACTAAGTAGATACGCCATTAGGAAACCAAGAAAGTATGCTTTAAAAAAAACAAAAACCTAAAAGAAAAAAAAAGGTGGAGAAACAGTGCAAAATAACTCTTGCACTTTAGTGGTTTTAAAAATAAAGACAGTACAACACCCAGGTTGTTGGTTGGTCAAACCCCATTCTCCTGTCCTGCCATCTTTCAGTACTTAGCTTCCTTTCTCTTAGAAGCCAGAAAGTTCCTCTCCAAGACTAGAGGGCTTCTTCTCCTTGGCCCACTCTTCTCTCAAGTTCTGGTTCTGAACCAGAGCCCTCTAGGGGTCTGAATCCATGTGTGGAGAGGGTGCTGCCCCCAAGAGGGCTTGTCGCTGCTAAGGAACTGGGTCAAGGGACAAGGATGGTTAAGGCTCACCTCCCCCAGAGGAGGTTACTATGGAGACAGAGGTGGTGATGGGAAAAGGGGGCAAGGGAGAAGAGGAGTGACCACAGAGGGCCTCCTGAGCCTCTCTTCCTCCCCCATATGGGGCTGATGTACCCAGACCTGTTTGTCTAGGCCTGGCTGTCGAAGAAACATTTGAGTCTCCTCCTCCCCAGGTACCCTACTTTGCCTGGATGGGTCCAGGTGGGCTGGGGAAGGAGAACCAGTCCTGGCTAGGCCTGGCTGGCAGTAGTAGGGGAAGACAGAGGTATCTTTTCCACTGCTCTGAGGCATGAGTCACAAGGGAATAAAAAGAGGCCTTCTGTGGAGCTGGGAATTGGGGCAGGCAGCATTTAGACCTGAGGCCATAGATAACCTCCGAGTCCAAGGCCTCAAGGGGAGCAGATAGTTGGCCAAAGGCCAGCCTGGAGCTGGGGAGCTCCCCACTCAGGATATACAGCATTGCAAGCCTGCTTTCCCTCCCCCTGCCATGGGAAAGACAGTATTCCTTTCCTGTGGTCTCCTCACTCTCACCTCAGCTATGCCTTCTATTTGGGAGGTTTAGTTCCAGCTGGCCATGAAGGTCCAGCTTCCTCTAGGGAGAGGCCAGCTGCCTAGCTGCACTCCCTGCACGCAATAGAGAGACTCACAGGTTTGGGTTAGGAGGCACTTGGGAAGCCCCAAGTGTCTGGCAGGGGGTTAAAAACCACCTGTGGCTGACAGCAAAGAGCCCATGAAAGGGCAGAGGCCAGCTCAAGGTTGAGCAAACAATGGGATAAAGAGAGTACCTCTCTCGAGAATCAGTCCGGTCCTTGGAGAGGCGGGGGTGAGGAAGGAGTTCTTGGCTCAGTCTTTTCTTAGGGGGAATGACACCCCAGTATCCACTTGACAGATAAACTGCCAAGATCCAAATAAAAAATGGCAGAAAGAAGAGGATCATGGAAGAGATTCAGGATACTGGCCTAAGACATAGAGAAGTGTGAGTCAGGGCTGTAGGGACAGTTGTGCAGAGATGGGGTGCGCTGACCTGGCAGGTCCAATAAGTCCTCACAGCTGCCATCCCCATCAGGCCCTTTGTCTCATGAAGATCAACCACCTCTCCCATCCCCAGCCAACTGTTCTGTGGGGGGATAGGAGACATCCCCCAAGCTCCATGGCAATATATCTCCTGTGAGTTGAAGTACATTTGCTTCTTTGCTGTCCCTCTGTTGGCCCAGGTTCAGTGTTGTTGATAGTTTCCACTGTGCTATGCCATCAGGAAAGAGCGGAGAGAACTGTGTCCATAGCAACAAAGGGCTTCCTTTACCAGTGTTCAAGCCCCCTGTCCTGGCAGTCTATTATCAGTTTTAGGAATAGTCCCAAGGTCACCCCTTTGTTGAAGAAGTCAGTGAAGAATGGGATTTTTCTTGGATCAGTATCTGGCTTGCAAATGACAGAACCCTAGAGTTTCCATTCCCAGGTTGTCTTAGGTCTTCCTTTCATCCTCCACCCCCAGGAAAAACCATGGGCCAGCCAGAGTGGAAGAAGAGCTTGAAATACTCTTTGCCCTCACGTCCCTCATGGTGGGCTGAAGGTGGGGCATCTGAGCACACTGTCTTGCCCTTTAAATGCATGGCAGGCCTACTGATCCTTGTTCCCATTCAGCTTCTCAAGTCTACAGCCTACTTAAAATTACCCAACTTCCCTGGCTCTATGGCCTGGATTCTACCTTACACTTCTACCTTACAAACCAGTTCCCCATTTTCCTCTCTCTTTCCTCTTGAATCCCAGAGGGATTTATAAGGTGGGGAACCCAAGGAAAGTTCTATTGGCTTTCCCTCTTTCTACTGCCATTTTTGTTCCTCCAGCCCTCTGTCCCTCTGCTCCATCTACTGTTTTCCCCTATTGAAACTTTTTTCCACCACCTCCCTCTTTGACATCCCTCATGTCAGTGTCTCTCCTGCTTTGTCAGCCTGGAGAGTGGGAGAGGCTTAGCAGGTCTATCCAGATGAAAGGAAAAGGCTAGGGCAGGAGCAGTGGATCAAACTTGGACCTTTTGGGCTCATTTGGTATGGTGTCCAGAGACAGTTCCTTCCTGAGGGTTTGAAGGCTGAAATGGAATGAGCTGGGCAGCATGGTGCAGGCAGTTACCTGGCCTGGTGAGTAGGTAGGATGCAGGTGGGGAATCATTAAAAGATCCAACGCTGCCCCATAAAGAGCTGAGTTTATGGCTCATGCCTAAATAAAGCTGGTTGCTATGGGTGATATTAGGAAAATATGAATTTTCCTCGTTTGCCTAGGATGAAGAAGCTTCTCAATACACCATACGAACTACTTTGAACAGGTAATGCAAGCCTTTGAAAGAAAGAAAGAGAAAAAGAAATAAAGTGAATTTATATGCCTATATACGACTATATGGAGCCTTGTGGATAAATACAAGCCCATCTTTTTTTTTTTGTTTGTTTTGTTTTGTTTTTCAGCCTATCCTCCTCCATACAGGCTCTGTGCTAGTTGTGTATTGGATCAACCCAGGGGCTGAAACCATATGTTTCAGCATATTTTTTTGTCACTCTGGAAGAACAAGTCTTTTCAATCTGGGATATGCGTTGATTTCTAAAAACCTGCATGAGGAGTGAAATACGCAGACATATTTAATTTTTAATTATCTGCTTAGGAAAACCAATCTAACACCACTCAATTCTGAATTTGCTTTGTTTTCAGAGGAATGGAATGCATTTAGTCTTTATAAATTTGGGGTAGAGAAAACACTCCACTAGGGTAAGAGGAGAGAAGGGACAGGAGGAAGGTCCTCATTCCAGCTGAAAGAAGAGGTAAACCTAAGAGAGGTACTGACATGTTTTGTCTTTTCCTTTCTCCCCCTGACCAATCAAGGCTGGGAAAACCTCCAAGACTATCACTGAATGCCATATCTTAGGCCACACCTTCTAGTGCCCCATCCTCTCCCCATACCAAGCCAGAGCTGGACACAAAGTATGGATTCAGCTCTGGTCCTGGTACCCTTTCCTTCTTGCCTGCGTTCCTCTCTTCCTAACCTTCTCCATTGTTCTTTCTCTTCCACACCAATGCCTTCTTCTCTCCTCTCCCTCATTCTCTTTCTCTCTTCCCTTCTCTGTTCATTTAACTTGTCTCAAAAAAGAAAACCATTGTCAAGGGGTAAGGGGTCTCCTTTTCCTTTTGCATCTCTGTTGTTGCCATTTTCAAAGTTGAGCCCTTGCTAGAGATTCCGAGGTCCTCAGTTTCCTCAAAAAAAAAAAATATATATTTTCCCTTAAATGAGATGAAATGAGTGGCGTCCTGGGGAGGAGGGAGGCGCTGCCTGGAGTTGGGGCTGGGGGTGGGAGGGGGAAAGGAAGGGGAAGGGACGCATCACTCAATGTTGCTGCTGTCGAAGGTGTGACACTGAAAGTCCCCGTCAACGTACTCCATGCCTGGCAGCTTCATTCCGTACTTGTCCACACACCAGCAGATGCCACGTTTGCGGCCACGAGAAGGCTTGCACTGGGGGTGGGGGGACAGGCAGTGAGACAGCTGTACTGAAGCCTTGCTTCTGTCTGCCCTACCTCTTCTCCACCCCATGACAGACTCTCATCCCTAAAGAGTTCAGGGGCCACACTCAATCCTTGGGGGTTCTGGAGACCCATTTCAGCTTGCCCTTGGGTAGCTCCTACAATCCCTGTTTTATGTTACCCATTTTGGATTCTCCAACTGGGTATTTTCCAGGGATCCTCAAGGGAGGGACATGATCTGATAACCATGGTCATGACCATTGTAATAAGAGGCATACTTGTGTTCCAGACACTGCTTAGCACGGGTCAAGTCGCAGGAGCTATTCTAAGTTCTTTACAAATATGAGTTACTGACTCCTCACAGCTGAGAGCAGTGGGTATTGCTGGTCCCCATTTTACCTGAGGAACTGAAGGCATTTTAAGTATCTGGGTCAAGGAGACACAGATGAAGTGGCTGAGCCAAGATGTACCCTAAGGCAGTCTGGCTCTTAACTGTTAATTTCGACTAGGGGTCTGCTTTAGGCAGTGTCAGGGTCGCCTGGGAACTTGTTAGAAATGCAAAACCTTTTGAGCTCACCTCAGATCTGCCAATCAGAAACTCTAGCAAGCCCTCCAGGTGGTTCTTAAGCCTTGGTAGTTTGGGAACCACTGCCATAGGCTAAGAATTACTAGTTGTCTGAAAGTAGGGTTGTGGAGCCTGGCTCTGAAGTGACATGAAATGATTTCTGACAGTACATGGAGAAAATATGTTTTAGAGTCCTGTGTGTGTATGTGTGTGTGTGTGTGTGTGTGTGTGTGTGAGAGAGAGAGAGAGAGAGAGAGAGAGAGAGAGAGAGAGAGAGAGAAAGAGAGAGAGAAGCACAAACAACACAGGATGTGACTCATTGTTACAGTTCCCTCTTTCAGTGAATCCACGTAGACAAGGTGTAGCCATGAAAAGTTCGGTAGATTATAGTACAGGAGGGAATAAGAAAAGTCATGATTGTGATATGTGAATGGATATTGCACATTTGGGAAACACTAAATCATTAATGGTGGAAATCTCAGGCACTTGCCCATGGTAGAATTTCCCTGGCAGATGTCTGCAGCTGTTTGATCTTGGAAGCATGGGGTAGGAAATGTACCTGCTTTCTTTTGTAGAATCCTTTGCGGTCACAGTTGGGCAGGTACACAGCACGAGGCACCATTCTTGGGCTGGCCTTGAGTTCCTGCAGGGAAGCCTCCATGTGTCTGCGGCAGGGGCCCTGTGAGGACAGGAGAGATGAAAGGCCTGGCAGGACCAAGGGGGCTACGCAGAGGTGTGACCCAGGTTGTGTGTCTGGGGAATGTGGCCAGGCGAGTTCTATTTTCCTGTTTGTCTTCCAAGTGACCCACCTCAGCTTTTTATCCTGCTGAGTAATGAAGACCAGAGGCCTGGGTCTTCAGATACTGTAGACGGATGTTCAACCTTTTCTGAGGACTGGACGTAGCTATAGGGGTCATAAATCTGGTGTGGTCACTGTGCTGGCATTTACTTTCCTTGAATGGGCATTTCTATTCCACTCACTTGGACAACTCTTGGTTCTGATAAGTACAAGCTCCAAAAATGATCTTCCAAAACCCTGATGTGAGTTACTGTGTTAAGCAGTTTGTCCTTTGCTAGATCTGGTCTACACAACTCCTGATGCCACAGATGTCCCTGTAGATGCAGGAAAAAGTCAGATGTTGGGGTGGTGGCTTAGGGAGAGAATTCCTGAGACTCACCTGCTCTGATTCCTGTCTCATTTCAGGTGCAGTGATGACCCGGGGGTGGGCAGTGTTCTCAGCACCCCCTACAAACTTGGACTGGGTCAGCTTCTTCCTGCGGTCCTTCTTCACGGCCTCAGCCTTCAGCTCGGAGATGCGAGTATGCTTGGGCCGGAAGATCTTGGGGGAGTAGGTCTCCTCAGCCATCTCAGAGGTGGTGGGCTCCTCGTGCTCACGAGAATCTCTCTCTGAAGGGAGAAGGGTCGGAGGATTAATGTCTGAGAGCTGGAAGCCCAGGGTTGGAAGGTTTAGGGTGAGAGGAGTAATAGAGGCTGAGGCAGACAAGGTCTCAGCTCTCCTGGAGCTCAGCTGACTGGAGGAATCCAGAGAACAAGATCCAGGGGAGGAAAATCAATGTTCATTGAAGGGCTGGGAAGTTTCTACATGATGAAGTGTAGGTAGGAAGACTTCACAGAGAAGGAGAATCTTCTGAGGGCAGGAAGAAGGAAGGGCAAAGAAATGGTTTATGGAGAGCAGTTTAGTAGCCAAGGGGAATGGATTAGTAGATGAGATGGTGGTTGGGGCAGTTGTTGAGATGTAAGAACCCTGAGATCTAGGCCAAGGTATGGAAATAGGGGACAGCCTGACATGGACAAGGGTGGCCAAGTCTGTCCTCCCAGTAAGGCCTTTGTGCTTTCTTTGTGCTGGGCTTTGAGACCCATTTGGACCTAGGGAACCAGGGGGAGGAGAAGCACGTGGTAGAGATCATGATAAGGAGCAGGAGAGGGGGAAATGGAAGACAGGACAGTCAAAATGTGGGGCCTGGAGGTGGTCAGGGTGGAGGCAGATGGAATCTAGAGGCCTTGCTTCCCGCTCTGACTCAGAAGTGGCTTTGTGTTGTGCTCCAGACGCTGGAAGGCTGGAACATTACTGAGCTCCAGTCTGAGACAGGCTGACAGTTGGCTTGGGCTAGAGCAGTTATATATAGGAATGACCTGGTGACAATCTATACTTAGCTGACTTGTGACCTTTAGAGAGGTAGGACTTTGTTCTTGTATCTGTTGATTGTTAATCCCATCTGCCCAGCCCTTTCCAGTCCACAGAAATCCAGTAAATTCTTTTCTCATAAGTACTGTCCTTTCTAATTTAATCTCCCTGACCCCACAGCCTTAGTGGACCTAGACTGAGAAGACGTAGGTTACTGTTCCCAGGTGGGCAGGGTGTGGTTAGGATGGCCCACAGTGAAACTAGGTATGGAGACAGGTGGGAGAGGGAGGCCCAGACTTCACTGCCCTCTTTGTGTGGGGAGGGGGTGGGTCTTGGGGCTGGGAGTGGATCTCAGGGCCTCGCACATGCTAGGTAAGTGCTCTACCACTGAGCTACATCCCCAGCCTTTTCTTTTCAAGTACTCAAAAAGGAAATAGGGCCTTGTGTAGCCCCAATAAATAGAGTGAAGGAAGAATCCTACTCCATTCTCCCAGAAGTCCCCAGGAATGGTAATGGATAGGCATCTGAGATGGGAAATAAAAGAAGAGGGAAGAATTTGAGGTCAGGATGAAGGGACATAGTAAAGATGAGAGCCTTTGGGAAAGACACTGTTGTATGTAGCCTGAGAGGCATAGAACTTGACTTTTGGGCTTTCAGCCCAGTAAAAATTTAGGAACACATGAAAGGAGACATTTGGAGACCTGATCGAATTTGGTCAGGATGGCGAGTGACAGGAAGCACCTGAGCACCTGTTTCTCCTTGACAAAGCCTCCAAGGCTTTGTAGCAATCCTAGTGGTTGGTGCAATTGGGATTTTATTCACAGGAGAGGAAGGAAAGTAATGAAGATAATGAAGGGATAGCACGTGGAAGAGCTGTAGGCAGGCCCTTCATGAACCAAGTTTACCACCAGTCCTCCATTCTGGCCTCTTCCCCTCTTCCCCAGTGCCCTGACTCTGTTCATTAGCAGTATACCTGCTGTGGTGACTAAGCCAAAGTGCCAGATTTGTCTGATGTGATGGAATACAGGATACTAGGGACTGGCTAAAGGAACACATCTTGGGGGAAATGACTTTGTTGGTTGCTGGACAGGTTAGATTGGAGGTGGGGATACAGGAGGACCATGGCTGGTTTGGGGACTTAGTGAAAATGCAAGGGCGAGGTTCTGCCATCCAGTAACAGACCCAACCTGAGGCTCAGTCTGGGGGAGAAGGGTATGGGGCACAGGAGGGTTTCCGGCCTGTCTCACTGGGTAACTTGTGTCACTTCTCAGCCTCTCTGGGCATCAGCAGGTGCCCTCGTCCTGAAAAGCAGTGGGGTGCTGCTGGAATAGGGGAGAAGGCAGAAAAAGGTGGTCATGAAAGCCTGATGGCATTGCAATGTATGCAATTTCAAGTTCTTAAAGACATCTGGGATGGGGATGCCCATCCCATCCTCCTCTAGCTACCTATTTGTGTATGTGTGGGGGGGAGGAGAACTCTGGTGGGGAAGGGGAGCTCTGTCCCTTTGAGCAAAGGTGTCATCTTTCTGCTGTCCTCTCAACTTGTTCTTTCTCGCTGGCCTTTAAGGCTATGGAAACATGGTGCTCTTCCATGTATCATGTCTTCTCTACATCAAGACCCTTCACCTTTAGGACTTTTCTAAGTACCTTGGCAGCCTTAACCTTGAGTCACCCTTCCTGACAGGATGGGGCTGTGTTCAATAAGCCTTGGGACAAGTTTATTTTGATATTTTGACCTCTTTTAGTCTTTTCTTGGAAAGTGTTCAAGTGATGATATCAGCAAACAAAACATAAAATCTGTTATCTTTCTTTTTTTTTTTTTGGCAGAACCGGGATTTGAACTCAGCCTCATGGTTGCTAGGCAGGTGCTCTACCACTTGAGCCACTCCACCAGCCCATTTTTTTGTTTTGGGTATTTTCAAGATAGGACTTCACAAACTATTTGCCCCGGGGGTTGGCTTCAAACCACAATCCTCCTGATTTCTGCCTTCCAAGTAGCTGGGATTACAGGCATGAGCCACCAGTGCCCAGCTACTGGTATCTTTCTTTAAGGCAAACCCTTGGCCACACTGAAGTGGGGTTTCTGAGGGCACCCCACCCCTCCCCTTCTCTCTTTGGCTGCTTCTGAAGGGTAGGCTTAAAGTTTGATGTGCCTCCTGGGTCTCGGTGCCACTTAACCCCATGGGACTTACTTAGGCAGCAGGAGAGTCGAGTATCAAAGACACTAATCAGGTCTTGTGGTCACCTGTAGACTCCAGAGAGACAGTGGAAACTTGGACAACAGCCAGTGTAGAGCCACGAAGATTAAAGGACTGGAAAGCAAGACTAGAGCTGGAATGCCAGAGCCAGCTAACCCTACTCAGCTGCTTTGTGGCTGAATCATAAATAGACTTTCAACTTTGGACAGGTTTAAGTTTTAGATGAAATAAGAGGGCACGAATTACTGCCTATTCCTGAGCTATTTCACCAAGAGAAAATGAACCCAGGTTGTGGAGGGGATTTAGGTGGGATACAAGGAAGCACTTCCTAGTGAAGCTTGCTCTACACTTGAACTGCAAAGTAAATTTACAGTGGGCTCTGGAAATTGACAAGCAGGTCAATACCTCCAGGTGGCCGGTAGATGGCGCAGGAGACAGAGCCACACAACCTGGGCTCGTTCTTCTTTTTTTTTTTTTAATTTTATTAAGGGAGTAAGCAATTTTAAAGTCTGGCATTCGGATTACTCCCTCTCCTAATTTTTTGATCACTGCCATCTTTTTCTCTGTTTTTATGTGTCTCCAGAACATATTTGAAGACTCAGGGAGATAGACAAGTGAGGGATGCTGGGAGAATGGAGAAAGCAGGTGCAGGGGTTAGAGGAGAGGGGGACATGGCTCATTTGTGTTTCTTTAATCTGCAAATAGAAAGTGACTCAGGAAGGGAGGAACACCCCGGATCTTTCTCTCTCTCTCAAGGAAGGACTCTCCTATTATCCTGCTATTTGTGTGGGGGGTGGGCTCTGAGTCTGCTATGGCATCTAGCCTTAGTCCTTCCAGTTGGCTTTCCCTGCCTGTACCCTGCCAGGGCTCAGCTCTCTGTTCACACAGATGCTATAATATCCACATAGTTACATTCAAGGACTGCGCTCTTCTCCGTGTCCCAGCAAGCACAGGGAGTATCTGAGCATGCACTCATTTGCTGTGGCCCAGAGGCATTGCAGGGTGGGCAGTACTGCACACAGAACCACTGCACAATGTCCACACCCTGTCCAAGCTTCATGGCCTTCTCCAAGGCCGCCCTGTGGCCACTGCGGCTCTCTTGTATGAGTTCTAGGAAGCCTCCTACAATGGATGGGTCCAGGTGGAGACCTGAAATCTCACCTTCCACCCTGTAGCTCTTAGTAACGTTGTGGCATGTCAACATCTTGTTTATGGGTGGTGTTAGTTTCCCATTCTCCTGGACCTCATAATCAAACATAAGAGAAACCTTGGTGGCTTAGATATTGTGACTTGACCTACAGAAGTTAAAAATATTAAGGCATACTTGGAATTCAAGCTCTGGAAGAGTGAAGGGCTTTGTCAGCCCACCTCCACCTGAGGAGTCTTCAATCCCTTCCCCTCTCTCTCTTTCTGAGGCAGGGTCTTGCCACGTAGCCCAGGTTGGCCTCAAACTCATGATCTTCCTGCCTTAGCCTTCCAAGTGGTGGTATTATGGGTTTGTGCCACCTGGCCAGGCTCTCCAATCTTTTTCTAGTCAGAAGACAAGATGGGGATGCCAAGAATCTCCCTATGAAAAACACAAATGGCAGTCGGGTTTTCTCTAGCACTCGTTCCAGCTCCTTGTGGACTGTAAATAGTCAACTTCTTATGGCCAAAGCTTTGCCATGTATTGTCTCCTCGGTGGTATTCAGTAAATATTTTTTAAATACACAAATGAATTTTCCCAAGAGGCAAAGAGAAATGAGTCTAGAAGTATTTTTGCAATATAAGATTGCACAAGCTAGAGAGCATCGGATGCCTTGAAAGATCATTTCATGCATGTCCCTGCCTTGAAGCAGAATCACCCTGCTCTAGAGAGACATAGGGAAGCAAGGAATGAGCAAAACCAGGGCAGGAAAGAAATAGGTATCCCAGATCTACGGGGCTCCTCTTTGGTCTAAGGTAGTGCTGTCTAATACAGCAGTGAGGAGCCAATATGGCTATTTAAATTAATAAATATTCAACAAAATTAAAATCTGAGTCCTTGAGGCCAGGTGCAGTTGGCTCAGGCCTATAATCCTAGCT